CACTCTGTCCTATAGGGTTGGAACTGACCGCCAGCACAGCCAACCCCACAACACCCAGCCACCCAGCCCCTCCAGACCCCTTCCCACGAGGACACCCTGGGGCCCATGAACGGGACGTGTTCCCATAAGTCAGTGCCCCTCCTCCACCTCTTCAGGTCCAACCTCCTCACTCCCGACAGGCCCTCTCAGAGGTGTCCTTCCCATGCCCCTCCCACACAGTCTTCACAGCACAGCTCATTCTGTTGTAATCATCACTTCTTAACACGACTACCAGAAACCATCGCACCACCTGGGACTCAGGGGCCTGGGTGGGGCACCGGCAATGCACGCAGGCTACGAACCTCAAGGTCAGCAGTTAGAGACCTCCAGCCGCTCCGTTGGGGAGGGACGGGCCTTCTACTCCCATAAAGAGCGACATCAGAGGGGCGGTTCTACACGTCCCACAGGGTCACTGTGACTCGGCAGTGACAGCGTGTGCCTCACGTGATGCTTCCCAACAGCGCGGTCACAGTATTTTTAAAGGAGATGTAAATGGACGTATACCCGGGTTCTTATGCTAGAACCCACAGGCCAAACCCACCACCAGCAAATCAATTCCGACTCGCAGGGAGGGTCCCTACACGGTTTCCATCCTGTGGGGCTTCGTGGGAGCATACAATCACATCTTTCTCCCATGAGTTCGAACTGCTGACCTGCAGCTAGCAGCCAAACATTTTAATCACTACTCTACCAGGGCACCACCCTATGCATATACACACTCACACAAACAGAGGTCCACACTTCACATACAGACACACATGTGATGCCCCAGGTCTGACTACCGAGGGGGCCTGAAGTCAGGGTCCCCAGCTAGCAATGAGCGCCTTAGCACGCACCCCTTGGCGTCTCACTACCCTTTCTCCACTACCCAGAGGCAGAGCCCCATGGAGACAGGGCTGGGGGCCGAGCTGCCCCAAGGAGAAGCCCAATACCCGCCTGGCACACCGGGTGCCAACTGGAAGGCCGTGTCCGTAGAATGACGAGAAAGTTTCCAGGAATCATCTATGCCAACTGGCAGCCGCTCCCGCTGGCCATCTCAAACCAGGCATCAAGATCCATCAGGACTGATCATAGCTCCATCCAGGGAGTGAGACGGGGACCATGAGCCACACAGAGGAAAAGACGGGTGTCTCATGTCGCCTCAAAGTGCCTGGCTGAACCCATTTCTTCAATCTGGAAGGAAACGGTGTCATTTGAGAGTGGAGAAGCAAGGGCCCTTAACCAAGAGGTTGCAGCGAGCGAGCGTCTGGGGCCCTGGGCCAAATGGCAGTGCGGAGCAGAGAAGGCAGCAGTCAGTCCTGGGGTACCCCGATACACCCCGTGCAGGGGCATCAGACAGACCAAAGTGGAGCGGGGCACTCTGCAGCATCAGGGGCTTGTGACCTTCCAGAGCCAAGGTCACAGAAGGCAGAGAGAGGCCCAGAGACACCGCCACCCTGCCCACCCACCACCCCCACTGCCAAGTTGGCCCTGGGAGGATGTCAGATGTGGTAGGTGATGGGTGGCTGCCCATTCTGGATTTCTAGGCTGTCCTAGGGCCACAACGTCCATGTGGTCAGAAACACACTCTAAACCAGTGTTGGGGGTGGCAGAGGGCTGGCTGGAGCAACCGGGAGAGCGGCAGAAACAAGAGAGCACCCACATTTCATCCTGGACGGTAGGGCTCATTGCTGGGGGCGCTGAGGAATTGTTTTTCCCAAAAGGGGGCAGGAGGACAAATGAGTTCAGGAGCCAATGTCCCCCTACCCCGACCAATCAGGAGTGCCGGACCCCCCCAACCCCCACCCCAACCCACTGCTCTCAGAGGACTCAGGAGACAGGGTGTGCCCTCCAGGACGATGGAAGCAGCACCTGCTTCCTCCCTAGGACACACCTCACGTGCGCCCTGGGCAGGGCGGGCCAGGGCGGTCCCGTGCCCACCCCACTCCTCTCTGCCTGGACCCCCTCCGGCTCTCGCCCTATATCTCTCCATCAAGCGTTTGGAAGAGCCAGCTCGGAGCATGGCGACCCCTGAAGCAGAGTGGAGAGCACTAGGCCAGCCCTGAGCCCAAGTGAGACAGGGAGGGTTTCCAGCAACAGCCCACCCAAGACAGGCAGGAAGAGAAAGGGAGTTTAGGAAGGGTGGGGCGTGGAAGGGGGGTAGTTGAGCCTGGAGGTAAGGGTGAGGCCCGCTAGCAAGCTGACCCCAAACCTGCACATGCTCCTGCATACACACATCGCCTAGGTAGGCCTGATTCATGAAGGGCACGCTCTAGAATGCTCTTGGAGACAAGGCGGGTCAGGGAGGTAAAGGCTGGGTGGTCAGGTCCAGAAGGTCAGAGGGGTCTGCTGTGTCAGCACTGTCAGCCTGGCCACTGAAGCTGCTCTCCTAGCGGGTCCTCGAGAAAGCCACACCTAATTAGTTTAATTAAGCCCAAGGTAGCTTCCAGGCATTTTTTAATTAAAAAAAGACACATATAAAACACACACATGTATGTGTGTGTGAGACAATGTATGTACAATCCCCTGGCGGCTCCTGGTGGACACAACCGAGGGGTGACTGAGTGCCCACTGTGGACACCTCTGGCTCTGTACACAGCAGGTGCCTAATAAATACACGTTCCCCGGTGCTCCCAGCCGAGAACAATGCACCGTGATGGGGGTAAGGGGGGACGACTAGGAGGTAACCCTGAGACACCTGCAGCACTGTGGAAGGCAGAGGCCCCGCCCTGCAGGAGTGGGAAGCCCAAGGAGCTCCCCCAACACACACACACACCCCAGCAGCCCAGCTGGCAGCAACCCCTCCCCAGCCAGAGGAGCCTCAG